GAAACCTACCCACTCTGGCTTCCTTATTTATTTCTTCTCAAACCATACATATAAGGTAAAAATATGATTTATGAAGTTTATGATAATAAGGAGTCTGAGTCTAGCAGACGCAAACCATAGTGACCAGGAGATTGGTAGATTGAGAAATATACTGTTTAAAAACAATTACCCATTAAAATTATTAGGCAATTACATATAAATTGTAATTAGCAAGATTAGGGATTATTTGCTATTATGTGCTGGAAGGCAACTGGACAATTTTACTCGGCTTCTGATTTTGCCTTCCTGTCAGCTTGCGAAAAAGTTGGGTGAACTACTGAAGAAATGGAATATGAAAACAATCTATAAAGAGAAATTAATACTTTCTTAAGTAGTTCCTTCGTTTAGAGATTTTCATACCTTTCTAGATCAGTCTGTTACAAGGTTTTGTGCTCATGTGATAAGGTATATATGGGGGAGACCTGCTGATCCATTCACAAGAGACTATGCGAACACAAAACCGTTTGTAAAGGTCTGTGGATCCAAAAATCTGAGCTCGCTGAACACATTGCCAATACAGGACACTAATTAGACTGGTCCAAAACACAACGCTCTGTGGGTTACGGGGACTTTGCATCAAAGCGTAAGATTAGGGAGTCTATCTAAATTAACAAAATAGCCAACGTCCTGAATATAAGGGACGAGTGTAGAAAACTAGGTTGGAACTTTTTGGGGCTGTTGGATAGACTTAAAGAAAGAGAGCCAGTGAGCAAGAGGAGGCTGGACTATCATACTACCCATAACATGAGCATTACGTACACACAATAAACAATAGTCCAAGCCAAAACAAGATTCAGCATTAGGCCGTCGTACGCTAGTTTTTATGTAATGAAACAGCTGCCACTGAACGCACTTCCAGTCCAGAAAGTTAACTTCAATCATTCGCAAGCATTTAGAATAAGGTTGAAGTAGCAAACCAAATCATGGACGGCCTCATTGATATCGCGATGTTAGGTGTATACAAAAGCAACTAGGGTTGCAGCCTGCCATCTTCTATTGGTTTAGTATATTTTTGCTCTATTTTGTAAAGTATGGTATCTTTTCCTGATTATGTAGCTGCATCTGCTAGACTAACTTGAGGCTAAAGCCTTTGAGTAAGTCTCATGGTCAAGCCTTTGCTACATGGACCAAGTCTCTGGTAAAACAGCACTACTGTCAGCCAACTAGCTCCAGTCTCTGCCGCGTCTATCCTGTTTCCATTCCTAATACCAAATCTATGACTTGCTACGGCATAGTCTCTTGTGTGCCGACCCACAAACATAGTTCAACATTGAACCTAATCAAATCAAGCAGTACCACAACATTTGTGGATTGGCACACAAAGACTAGTGCATAGGAAGTCATAGACTTGGTATTAGGGATAGAAACAGGATAGACGTGGCGGAAACTGGAGCTGGTTGGCTGACAGTAGGTCTGTTGTACCATAGACCTGGTCCATGTAGCAAAGGCTTGACGATGAGACTTAGAGGCTTGAGCCTCGAATACGTAACCCAGACGCTGGGAAGGGCGAATAACGCCTCGAGTAGCACAGATGGGGTGGCAGGGGTCGACTGAAATACTTGAACCAGGGAAATAGCAGGCAAATCCACGGGGCAAGAGAGAGACTGTAATAAGACCGAGGGAAGGAGAAATGCGTAACAATATGGTAGACTGATTGAAATTCTCAGCACAAGGGTGGAGGGGGCGTGAGAACGCCAGTATGTTGTGTGGAGGCTTCTCATGAATCCCGTGATAGGAGGATATAGGAAATGTGAACAGCCCAATTCAGAAGGAGAGATACCACAACTGTTTAACACACGTTTGGTCAAAGGATCGGATTCACTTGCCCTTTGACGAGTTGTAGTATGGTGCTAAGAATGGCAAGACTCACTGACGATGCCGACTACGATGCCGGCAAAACGTCTACTTTTGTACAACTTTCACGGTCCGACTTTGGAAATGATCATATATACAATAGACTCAGGACTAGGTGCGTTTCTCTAAATCTTTTTATCAATATGACCAATTTGCGAAAACAATGTCAAACAACCTCTATACAATGAAAGGAGACTGCGACCATATAAAAACCACACTATCTTGGTCTTAATATCTTCGATTAAACTATGGAATCTTGCCATGATGATGTCTGTCACAGTACAGACAAAAGCTTAGCACAGTTTCATCGGGGTCGCATGACGGTGAGCCGAGGTTTTATTCGCACAATTTAACAGCCTTCCTTACGCGACAATCCTTCAGCTTGCGGTGAGACCATATCACGAATTCCTTCCAACCAACTTTCCCTTCGAAATGAAAAGTTATGCCACAATATTTCTTTAAGGAATTCTTAAAAACCCTGTTTTTCTTCATATCTTCAAAGTCTTAAGTTCTCACTAGGCCAAGAAAGATAATCACATAGATCAGTCTATATCTTTCTACTTCCGTACATTTTCGTTTTTTATTATTAGTTTATACAAGTAGTAAGATAGATTCGTTCAATCTTCTTGATCTAGCGTTAACCTGAGACTTTTACAAGGATGCGTCCCAGCTCTGATGATATCTATCACATAATGGACGAAAGGTCGGCCAGTTTTCTTCCGGAACGAAGGAGGATGTCTCGTGGGCTGCCTCAAACGGAACGTAGTATTAAAGCCAAACTGCTACAAGACAACGGGAATCAGGTGTCGTTTTATGGTGAGATCGACCTTCGAATTTCTTCTTCATGCGCTCATACGAAATGAAGTCATCCCTTCATTATTATTTATGGATATTAATTGAAACCCAGTTATTCTTCGGATCTACAGAATAAATTTGTGCCAGAGCTTCGCATATGAGATTAACTACGATATTTTGTAGTAAATACGTTGCATAAATGAAGTCAAAGTGGATCCAACATGGTTCTTTCCTTGTTACGTCGTT